TCATCTTTGCTTCTGGACATTGGTCTGTAGGTCTTTAAATCCCAACTTCAGGCTGCAATCTGTTTATTTATGTATCCACTCAACAAACAGACCCTCTACTGAGCCTGACGGTCTCTGTCCTCAGAGATCTTTCAGTTTTGCTGACAGGAACCGTTACTGTCAAAAGTAAACACCTACACTGACCTAAAATTAGACCGAGGTCCTGGAGAAAGAGTGATAGCACCGAGAAAAGGACATGCCAGGGTCTCTCTGAGCAAGAGTGTGCTGTACCTTCAGTACGCACAGGCGTCAACCAGGCAAACACAAAAGCAGAGGCCTGTGGCAGCCCCAAGGCAGCCGCTGAGCGTGGCTTTGGCAGAGGCGCTGAAACAGGGCCATGAAGCTGAAGGGGAAAAGGGACCTTGGACGAGGATAGACTGTGCAGGCTGGGGGAGCCCATGGGACGAGCATCTCCTTCCTCTCTAGGTGGCAGAGGAAATCTTCAGAGTTTAGATCAATGATTTGGGAACCTCCTCTCTAGGTGGCAGAGGAAATCTTCAGAGTTTAGATCAAACAATGATTTGGGAGCCAGAGAGCCGCCTGAGTTCTGAGCGCTTGTTGCTCTTGTGTGGGGCCCGTGTTTGGTTCTCAGCAAACACACTAGGCTGCACACAGTTACCTGCTAACTCCACTTCTAGGGGATCTGGTGCCCTTTCTTGGCCTCCATGGGTACTGCATGCATATGGTACCCATACAGACAGTAAGATAGACACATAAATAAAAACGATAATTTTAAAAAACAAATTATTTGATCTGATAAACATTTTTAAAAAAGATCACTGAGGACTACTTATTACAGAGGTTGGAGAACAGAAAGATGACAGTTACGAGGCTGGTTTAAACTAGTTAGGATGGAAAGAGGTAGGCAGACTAATCTTAAATTTTACAAGTTAAATTTATAGGAGTTAGAGAAGAAAGGTGTATTTGAGTGAGGAGCAGGAGTTATCAAGATTAAGTCTGTGATGTTAGGCTTGAGCAATGGGCATCTTGGTAACGCTAGCTCTGGAAAGAGACACATTTGGGCAGAGGGGAGGCAAAACCCAGAAACTCAGCTTGGCACGGCTCGAGTTTGGAAGGCCTGTGAGACAATCAAGCAGAAAAGCCAAGCGCGTGTGTGGTTCAGAAGCATATTCCGAGTGAGAGTCGAGGCTGCACAGAAGTTGCCATTATACAAACCCTGAAGGTCACGAGGAGGGACAAGGATGCCCCCCCCCCAAGAGTAGAACTAGACAGGAAAAGGTAGGACTGAATACTGTCAGACTCCAACACTGGGTAGACAGTGAGCAGTCAGCAAATCGTCTGGGAAGGGGCAGGCAGAGAGGAAGGGCATGGACGAGAGGCGGAGAGGAGGGAGAGGAGGGGCACAGGCCAGAGGTATGCAGTATTAGACCCCTTCAAGGAAGCCGTGACCAAGAATAGTCAATAATGTCGCTTTTGGGGTAAGGCAAGGGATGAAAAGAGGCAGGTATTTGGGTCAGTCTTAGTTCCAGAGCAGCTGTGACAGAGAGTTATCCTTAATGGGGAAGGCAGGGGTTGAGGACAAGTCCCAAAGAAGCAGAGGAGATGGGACAAACTTCTGGTAGGGCTGGGGCAGCACCCTCTTGGAACGTGAGGGAAGGGGGCTGACAGCAGGAGGAAAATAAGAGCAGGGCGTGGCAGGCTGAGGAAAGACTAGTCCTTTTTACTAGACCCAGCTCAGCACTGGAATGCAGTGTGGAGATGGAGAAGTACAAGCTAAGACTCAGCTCTTCCACTAATGTCAGGGAGGCTGAGTGTTTGAGAAGCTGAGGTGAATGTCAAAAGTTAGAAGCCTGCCTGGGCTAACCTGGAGACACTCACCCCCAGTGCCACAAAACTCCACATCTTACAAGGTTAAATTCTATACTGTCCGTGTTTGTCAAGTTTCTCATGGATATAATTATAGGATATTAATGAAGAAAATTTATAATATAATCAGTGAACTGCCTATATAATGCAATATATAAGGCTGTATGAAGTGATGTGTGAGTGTGTTCCTGTGTATGAATGTGTGAGTGTGTGTGTATGAGTGTGTATGTGTGTGTGAGTGTGTGTAGGAGTGTGTATGAGTGTGTGTGCATGCGTGTGCATGTGTGTATAGCTCAGAGGTTCATCTTTTCTGCTTCCTGACTGTGGAAGCACTATGGCCAGTAGCCTCATGATCTTACCACCCCAAAATCTGGATTGTATGCCTTCAATCTGTGAGCCCCCCAAAACCCTTCTTTCCTTGAATTGCCTTCACAGGTGTTTTGTCACAGCAGCAAGAACAGTAACTGCGTAAATACGGAGAGTACTCACAAGTGGAGCCCTGGAGGACTTTGCAGTTGAAAAGCTGAGCTAACATTGCCAAGCTACTCAACAGCTGAGCAGGGATTTGAACCCTGGAGCAAGGCTTCAGTGGTCTTCATTACTAAACTAGCCTTCTGTCTTCATTTCTAAGAGCACAAAGGCAATTAGGAGTGTTCAAAAAATGTACCAGACTGTGAGGCAAACATATACAGCAACCTAAGGCTCTTATGGACATCCCTTTTTATTTTTAGGTGACCACACAGGCCAGCTGGACCAATATTTACAAAGACAACTAGGTTGATCTTAGTGCATCATGTTTCCTCGGGCAGGGAAGTACACAAAGTTTTTTGTTTTTGTTTTGACAAGATTTCTGGGTAAGAGGTGAACTCTGATTGTACTTGGAAGGACTGCAGAAAACAAATGTGTGAAAAAGGAAGTAAAATACATGCGTATGTTTCAGGTATGTATAGGCTACATGTTTTCTAACAGCAGCGGGATCCCTCCAAAGCTCAGGGAGCACTGGGAAACAGGCAGTGGAACAAATGCAGAGACTTGAAGACAGGGAGAATGGGGTGTGAAGTGTTGTCTTCAGTCATGATACAGTCATCACAAAAACACGGCTTCCCAGCAGCTACAGTAGTCTAAGCTGGGAAGGCACAAGAGTAGGCCTGCCAACAGCCAATTGTGGATCAGAAAGGATTCATGGGGCTCCTACCTTTTTCCTGTTGAACTACTGGCAACTTAGGGGATCTGGGGTGTGTGGGAGATAGTCATTGTCTTTTAGTTGCATACTAAAAAGTGAGCCCACCAGTCTCTAAGGCAGAATAAACAGAACACACTACATACACGTATGGAACTATTAAATAAACTTAATTGGTAAAAACAGTGGGAGACTTACGATTTTGTGATTATACAAGAGTATACTTTGGACCAGAATAGGACAGCTTAATATAATTACGGTTGACGATTTAACTTAAATTACCATACGCGAAAGTCTTGTTGATAAGTTAGGGACTACTGTATAAGAAACCATTCATTTTGAGTGCTTCTTTTAGAAAAAGAATAAAATATATACAAGGGTTGGAGCACAACAAGAAAAGGTCTGACCCGTCTATTCACAGTGCAGTGTTACCAATGGCTGTAGACTGGAAAGTAGACAGTAAAACCAACGATTCGGTTGACTTTAGAGAATGTGACAGTACAACATTAATAACGAGTTTCTTAAATTGCATATTCACTGGAAGTATTTCCTGTAAATAGTTCTAGAAACTGTTTAGCCCGTGAATCCTTTTTCTAATATAAACTATCCACAAATCTCATGCCTGGGAAGGCTTAACCCATTTGGTACCTAGCTGGGCCTCTCAGTGGTATAAAATAGAGATGAAATCATTTTCTTTTAGTCACATGGATGAGAAAACAAAATTAGAAGTGAATCTGTTTTACATTTCTACTATGACTGCTGAGCTGTGGGTATCTGGCTGCCTGGGATAGACATCTAGAAACAAATTATTGCTTCTCTAAAATTCTCAAAGCCCCAAAGGCCACCTCTGCCCAGCTAATCTTCTCTCCAGGGATGCTCTCTGCTTGTCAATCGGGTTCCCAGTCCTTTTGCATCCTTGTGCCTCAGTTTGTCTCAGCGAGGGGAACAAGCCTCCTGTGACCCCAGGTCCGTGTTCTGCTCAGGCACACTTCTTAGTAATGCTTCTCTGAATTTTCTCTCTCCTTTGCTTGCTCTCTATAAACATTATTTGTATTTGCATGCCTAGGCAGCAAATCACGTGCACAGCATTTCATGATACCTTTGGATCAAGTTCACGATTTCAAAGTCAATTGAGTGGCACATGCTAATTTAGCCCAACACAGAAAGATGACTTAAAAAATAGAACTCTCCAAACTGTCTCTTTACCTATCCTGTTCATCTAGATTCGACACAATGCAATACAGGTGATGGGACGAGTGAAAGAAATGTAGGGAAATCTGTCTTTAGCGTTTTGCAACCCGCTTTAAAATAAAAACGCTTCCTGAGATGCAGAAGTGAATGTAATGACTGCTAAGTGGATATTTTTTCACCTTAACTGACTGATCATAAGACTATTTATAGCCCCCCTGACTGATGTCTCAAGCTGGTAAATCAACAGCAAGGGAGACTATTTCAAGCACATTTATCATTTAAGACAAACAGCCGAGACTGCGCGTGATTATTTTTTATTCATCATCTTCGCTCACCTAGGGTTCGCTCCTTCTCACTGTTAATAATATCTGTATAGGGCTTCTCAATATTTAATGGTACAGCCTCCCTGCTGCATGCTGATGAGTGTAAGGTCACATGTTTGATCTTAAGAAGGCCAGTTATCTTTGCCAAAAGATGTAAAAAGAAAGGGAGGGGGCTATCTGTATTTCCCGGGAAAGCCTGACTCTCTCAGTTGTTAGGAACACTATTGTTGGTCTCTATGCTATTAAAAAAGAAATCACAGAATGAAAGCTTTTAATGGGAACAGAGCTCAAGGCATTTCAATAGACTGACCCAACTACACAGAAACTCTTGAGTGGCAGCATGATGTCCAGAATTACAGAACAGCTTGGTTCAGTGTCTCTATGACTCGGTTTACCCTCTTGCATCTTGTACAAGACAGCAACACCCAAGAAAGTCTTACCTGTTCACTCTCTTCATCATCACTACTTAGCTTAAGGTCATCTTCTAGCATTCTGAAAGAAGGAACAGAGAGATGCAGACACTTAGATTCAAAATCTTTCAATGATGAAATACCACCTTTCAGTAACGTGCATTTGATTTCTATTCCCCCCTTGTGTTTTAAGTGCTTTTCCTCTGATGCACTTAGGAATGAACAGATAAGTCAGATCACCAAAGCTAACCCTCATGGCAATCACAGGATGAGACGAGGCTCCTTCAGAGTTGGCTGTTGTAGAAAAACAGAACCAAACAGGGACTGTTCCCTAGGAAGTTCAAATTTCGCAATTGTTTGTTCAGTGTTTTCCAACCTTAAGAGCTGGGCTGTGTCCTCGGGCCTGTCTGGGGGATGCTCATGGTAAAGAAAGCACAAGCGCAAGCAGAATTCTGCTGAGGGTCATGCAGCCATCATCCTGAGTCATAAGTGACACGTATGCAGGCTCCCTGGTGGCCAAAGGGCTGGAGAGGATGTCCACTCCAGGATCTGCTGAGTAGGAGGTGAGGAACAGCAGGGTGCTGCTGAAGAGTCTGGTAAGCCCTTTCCACAGGCCACCAGCCACCTGTGTGTCCTAACATAAGCAGCAAGCCAATGGAGGGCGATAGTGGACAAAGACGTGCACCTGCATACCCTACTGTGCTTACTGATGAAGGGCTGTTCTTATCAGCGTTGCTGCGATTAGTTCTTCGTAGTGCAGCTGTTTTCAGATTTGTCCGGTGCCAAAGGAATCTTGCTCAGAAATGCACGCTCTAAAATGCGCTCTGTGCATGCAGAGCTGTTCTGTCCAGGAGCAGGGAGAGTGCACTGGCGCAGAGCCCAGGGCTCCAGACACTGGTCTGGAACCCGTTGAGCTCTTGTGTTTAAAGACATTAAAGACATCAATGTCTTCCTTATAGTCAACTTCTGAAGACTGCTACCAAATGTGCCTATCACAGCACTGTTTTAATGTTATTTCAGTGACTTTGGGAGTAAATGGAGGGGGGACCAGGGGCCGCTAGGGCATGAACCCAGTTACGAAATGTCTAAGCGTTTGCGGTAGGTGACATATGGCACCCTTGTTCACCCCATAGACGGTGAAGGCTATACCTGGAGATCCTGCTCTAGATTCCATGAGTATAAGAAATAAAACTGTTTCTCCCATCTCACAATGAAGGAAAAATATCCTTTCTATTTGATCAGAATCATTTGGAAAAACAACTGCAATTGAACACGTGCGTTTTTTGGCCATTATTTCCTACCCACAGGCCAGAACCCAGCATTTCTGTTGTATTTGGTATCCTGAGTGTTCTAGGTAAGATTTAAAGCTATGTGGAGATGCGAGCTGGTTACATGCAAATCCAGTATCATTCTACAGAAGGACTAGAGTGTTCACAGATTTGGGTATCAGAGAAAGGTCCTGGAAACAAACAATCCCTCATGGATATAAAGAGACAACTATGTTCTTTTATTATTTATTATTTTATTCTATTTGGTTTTTAGAGACAGGGTTTCCTCTGTATTGTTATGGAGCCTGTCCTAGAACTCACTCTGTAGACCAGGCTGGCCTCAAACTCACAGACATCCGACTGCCTCTGCCTCTCGAGTACTGGGATTAAAGGTGTGTGCTACCAATGCCTGGCCTGTATTTATTTTTGATAACGTGGCAATAGGGTTTCTGAATATTTAAGAAACTCATAGGGGTAAATAAGCTGAGAAATAAAGATTTCACAACAAAGTCTTGGAATTAGGCCGTGTGCTCTCCTCCTTTGAGGCCTTTCTTGATGTCACCTAGTGACTACAGTGGGGGAATATGTTTTAGCTTCTAAAAGTTGACTTAGGTCTACAGAGGCCAGTAAACAAGGCTGCAAGCCCAGTATGTAGGGGGGGGGTCTGCCCTTGGGGGTCAGTGGTTGATCACACAGGCAGAAGTCACTAAGGTAGACTTCAATGACAGCAAAGATATTGATATAAAATACCTGATAAAATTAAACTTAAAAAAAATCAAGGCCAGAGAGCAGAAGCCTAACCAGAGGTAATGAGAGTGGGAGTTTACAATCTTGATACCAATAGAGTTGTAGACTGCTAGATACAACCACACGTGGCTTCACAGTAGATGCAGGTGACTGAGATCTGTGACATCTACAGGATACGGGCAGGACATTTTAACATGCAACTGAAGTGACTGAGACTTTATACATTTTTTAAAAACTTAGAATCTGTTAAGACAACAATTTCTCTTTTAAAAAATGTGTGTGTGTGTGTGTGTGTGTGTGTGTGTGTGTGTGTGTAAAAGTGTGCATATTGCAGAGGGCAACTTGAGGAGATGGTTCTCTCTTTCTACCATGTGATTCCAGGGTTCAAACTCAGATTGTCAGGCTTAGTGGCAAGCACCTGTGCTCACCCAGCCAGACCAAGACAGGTGCCCCCTGCTCCACCGCTAAGCTTCACCTGACTCAGGCACCGCTGACCCGCACGGGAAACACCTCCACCTTAGGGTGTACTGAAGCTACTCCATGGAGCAGGGCTTTTAGTTGAAAGGTTTTCCTTGAGGTACTTGTTATTTGAGGCTCGCTGAAGATCCTTCAATCCTTTATTTAAAGTTCACTTTAGTTTGCTCTACCTTAATGGCTTTAAAGCAAATCTGAGTTTTAATTGAGCTGTTTAATTTTCAGAATTGTTTCTATAGGAGGTTCTGCTACTGTTTCTACCTATCTCAGATTTAAAGCCAGAGACAATGTCTATTAAGCACACACAATGTCTTCATTAGACATGTCACATATGCAAGTATTCATTCTGGCAATTAGTATTTCACAATGGCCTGTGTCTTAGAATTTCTATGATGGCAATAAAACACCATGACCAAAAAGCAACTTGGGGTGCAAAGGATTCATTTTATCTTAAAGTTTGTAGTCCATTATCCAGGGAAGTCAAGGCAGGAAGTCAAGGTAGGAACCTGGGGCAGAGCTGATGCAGATCTGTAGGGGAGTGCTGCTTTCTGGATTGCTCCCTGTGGCTTACCCAGTGTACTTTCGAATACTATCCAGGATTACCAATCCAGGGGTGGCACCTCCTACAGCGAGCTAGACCCTTCCACATCAATCCATTAATCAAGAAAATGCCCAATAGTCTTGCCCACAGACCAATCTCTTGGGGCATTTTCTCAATGGAAATTCTTTCTTCCCAAATGACTCTGTGTCAAGTTGATGTAAAATTAACTAGTACAATTTGCAATTAATCTCCACTGGGAAAGAGAGAAAATTTTTTCTCTAATGGAGTGTCAACTGGTATATCAACATAGTCCTCTCCCTCGGTTCTCTACCCAACTCCCTCCCTTCCTCCTTCTCCCCCTCACATACCCCCAAATTGAGTTCTTTTTGTGTTGGTCAACTACTCTTTGGCACCAGGCCTGCTCTGGACTATGTTGATATACCAGTTGACACTCCATTAGAGAAAAATTTTTTTCTCTTTCAGAAACAGCTGACCAGACAAAGGTTAACTCTTGAATCCCAGGCATTAGCCTGGGAATCCAGCATGGGACTGATCAAGACCCCCTGAATCTGGGTGTCAGTGAGGAGGCCTAGGGAATCTATTGAGCCTTGGGCAGCAGATCAGTACCCATCCTAAGTATACACACGGACTTTGGACTCCCATAGAACAATGTGAGGTGCACTCTCACCCTGAACTCTTGGGGAAGGGTCTAGGCCCTGCCCTATATGAAATGACAGACTATGGACACCCCCATGGAGGGCCTCACCCTCCCTGGGGGAATGAGGGGATAACGGGGGGGGTTTGGGGGAGGGCACGGGAGGAGGGGAGGGAATGGGAGAGGGACCTGGAACTGACTTGTGAAGCAACCTCGTTTCTTATCTAAATTTAAACTGGAAAATAAAATAAAAAAAATATATATGAAATAAAAAAAGCTAGCACCTAGCCAGCACACTATTTGTACTCCTAAGCAGTATACTCCATGCCTTAGAACATTGGTTGAGATTTGAATTAGAGATTTCATTTCATTCTTTCTGAAGTTCTCTGCTGTTGGTTGTTGCTATCACCTGGCTGGGTAACTTTCATTAACAAGTAGCTATTTGGAACAACTTTGCCTATAGCATTCTGGAGAACTGGGAACTGAGAAGGCTAGAAAAGCTCTTGGGGCAGGGGTTGATGACTAAGTATATCCTAGATGAAGATGGGAGAAGTGACTTGGCCTGGAGGCAAGTGGAAAATGCAGAATCAAGGCGGGGTGGTCTAGATAACCTAGCAATGTCTAACTGGAATGTATTCTGTTCCAGGGATCTCTACATTGTTGAAAACAATTTGGTTCATAGCGAGGTGGTGTTTGCTCACGTATATCTGTTTCCCAGGACCTGTTCTGGCCACTAGTGAAATTTCCAGGATCCACTCCTGCCATGTCCATACCCTAGTGAAAAAAGTAACTCTTCTGTTCACCTGCTTATTTTTAACTAGAGGAAAGGGTATCTAATGGTCTCTTTCCTTACTTATTGAGTGCACCTGCTACAAAGGCCTGTCCTCTTTCAAGAACATCCCATTCCCAACCTTACATAATTTTCACAAAAGTCAATCTCACTCAGGAAATCTGTCAATCCCAAGTAACATATGGGATGTATGTATATATTTTTAACTCAATCAACTGTCTTTCCTGATAGCATCATTATCTACATGTCATTAATGAAGAGAAATCAGAGAAGATGAGACTCAACAATCTGGAGGTAGATATTTCTCCAGTCAAGCCTTGGGATAACCTGAGTCTTGGCTGGTATTATATTTGCAGCCCATGACAGATCCCGAGCCAGAGGACCCAGCTAAGCCAGACTCAGATTCTTTACCCATGAAGCAATACAATGGATGTTGTCTTGAGCTACTAAGCTGAGGGGTAACTTGTTAGGCATCCCCCAGTGACTTGAGGTGAACCTTTGTAGCCAACATTCAAGATGCCCAACATTAGAAATAACGTGAGAGACTAATACATTCTATTTATGTCAATACAACATTTCTGAATCATAACATATTTTTAAGTGCTAA